GTTCCCTCAAGTTGCCGCTAACCCGAACCCCGCACAAAACACCGGACCCCGCACAAAACACGGGTCCACGCCGCAGCAGCAGCCTCCCTCGCTCGCTGCTGCTGTTGCTGGAGTTGACACCGTCATCACCGGGATCTCGCGCTCGCTTAGATCCTTCACAGACTTTTACCTAGACCATAGTAAGCACCGTAGCCACAGAAACCTTACTCTGTCGTCCACGCGTTTGCAGGTAAGCACCAACAGCCATGAAGAGCGAGCACAGCGGTGACGTACAAGTATTTAACATACCATGTCCCGAGAACACTTCTCCTTTTCCTTCTCACTGCAAAGCTCTCCAACTACAAACACAAATTCTGCTCCAGAAACCTCTGGACAGCCGTTGCCTGCCCGGCTTCCACCATCACTCACCTCTCAGACTCTTGGCCTCTGTGTTCCAGGGACCCCCCTCACGATGCAGAGCAGCCTGGCCCCAGCTGGATGCAGGTGGGACCTGAATTAAACTGGATGGAATCAGGCCAGGCTTTGACCTTCATTGGCCACCAGGTAGGGGTGAGGTGCTAATGAGCGTGGCTTAAATAATATTTAACTGCGAGTTACGCAGAGCACGTGTTGCAAAGCAAAACAAGAGGTCACAGTCTCTGTCGCTGAAAAAGCAGCTTTGCAGGCTCAGGCGAGCGAATAGCCGAGAGCTTTGGTCATCGTTTCATAATGCAAATGTTCTTTAACATGCCCTGAAAAAACAAACGCTCCTTAAGGAAAGCAAAGAGCCTCCCTCTTGTCTTTTTGTAACAGAACTTGATTCCGGAAGGGAACGCGCACAGTACCATTCCCTTTAGAGATACGCTCGTGAAGGCATCGGTTTCTCAGTGGTTTTATGTTTCTGTTAACAGGAAACAGGAGGGAAAGGAAACGTTCACACAGGTAATCACGCCTGGTTCGTTTGGTTGCTGCCCCGCTGAAAACTCCTGGCTGGCAAACGTAACCAGGGTAACTCCAGGCAATTCCGAGGCAGCTGCAGCATGAGGAGCTGCTCACTCCTTTGCTCGTATTTGACATGCCAGAGGAGATGAAAACACTTCTGTATTTTGAACTCTGTTGCTGCTGCTGCTGTGTGGGGTGCGTGGTTTGGGGAGCCATCTGCTGAGGCCTTGACCGAGGCAACCCAGCTGCTTTTTGTTACAAAGCCCAAAGTTTACTTTTCCTTCACTGCGGACGTGGTAGGGGGAGCTGG